AGCATCTCTTGCTGTCACACTGGAATTGCTTGGTATTGATATATACTGTGTATCATAAACAAGAATTCGAGATGCAAGCACAGTGAACGAGCTAACCAACCACCCACTCCCCATTGTCTTTCGGATACACATCTCTTGTGATCCACAGACTGCTGCGGCGGGATGCGAAGAGGTCCTTATCGTCCTTTAGTACGGCAGCGAAGAATCGGTATTGAACACAGATGTCATGCTGTCGATGACGATGATAACTAAACGGTCTCCACAAAGTGTGCAAGTGGAGTCCTCCAAGTGCGCTCTGAGGAAGTTTTTCAGCCACGAGGGAGTGCCGATAGTTCTCGACCCTGACAACAGATCCCATTTGACAGGTCAAGCCTTGAAAGCTTGCTAAGTTGGGTCTGGTGAAGACATATCCGTGCTACTCCACATCTCCGCTCAAATTGATAGGTTGGCGATCTTGTGAAAACGTTGTAAAACGTTGAAAACGTTCTTGTAAAGCTCCTACGCCTAACCACCCCATCACTCCCCATTGTCTTTCGGATACACATCTCTTGTGATCCACAGACTGCTGCGGCGGGATGCGAAGAGGTCCTTATCGTCCTTTAGTACGGCAGCGAAGAATCGGTATTGAACACAGATGTCATGCTGTCGATGACGATGATAACTAAACGGTCTCCACAAAGTGTGCAAGTGGAGTCCTCCAAGTGCGCTCTGAGGAAGTTTTTCAGCCACGAGGGAGTGCCGATAGTTCTCGACCCTGACAACAGATCCCATTTGACAGGTCAAGCCTTGAAAGCTTGCTAAGTTGGGTCTGGTGAAGACATATCCGTGCTACTCCACATCTCCGCTCAAATTGATAGGTTGGCGATCTTGTGAAAACGTTGTAAAACGTTGAAAACGTTCTTGTAAAGCTCCTACACTTCAGAATTTCAATGTGCTAATGGTATAGTTTCTGGGAAAACACTTTAATAAAACAGATTGGAGTTGAACTGGTCCGAGTTAGCCATTGCAGCCGAAGACAGATCAGCAGCCTAATCGAATTAGTAATCAAACTGCACTTTAGTGGCTGCGCAGATAGTTGGCTTCGAGATATATATAACGGAGTATACCCGGAATTCCACGCCAAATCATTAGGAGGTATTATCCGGCAACGACAAAAAGAGACCTGTAACATGGGACGTCGAGGTTGATCAATCTCTAAAACGCTACAACAAGTAGCTTTCGGGATAGGCGACCAACGAGAAACGTGGACCTTCAGCCATGTCATGACCGCTAACGAAGAATTGAGAAACGCCGGTAGGTGATTAGTTAGCACACATAACTTCTGAGGCAATGTCTTCCTGGGCTGTCATCTAAACAAGTTTGAACACCACACCACTGACGAGGTTGATAAAAATCTGGACAGACCACTAGCAGTTTTGCCTTTTCTGGGGCTCAACAGGCAGGTTTAGTCTCCGAATATTTGTCACTTATCTCTATCTTGAATCCCAGTTGAACAAGAAGTACACGTCTGTTACAACTTAGTTTGGCATTGAGAGAGCACTCAATCGAAATTCAAATGAAATCGCGGTTAGATAAGTTCATCGTTCCGGCCGATGCAAGTTTTGAACGGAAGTCAGGCCTCCATAAAGTAAACTACTCACGAAGTTATTGAAAACTCTTCGACAACTCCTCAGTAACCTCAGTAACCATTATGAAAATATACTGCGATATCTTGAATATCGTGTTAACTGAAGCACGAGGCGACCTGTGTGCAGTACATTCAGTTGTAGAATGTCATAAACGAGATATTCAGTTGAGTCTCCCATGAAAACCAAATTGATTTGCAAATGAGCGTATTTCTCGAAAATCAGGCCTCCATGATCAGCCAGGTTGAAGGATGGTCACAGTTGGTCTAAACAGTGTGAGAACAATGACTGAACAAGAGTGACGAGGGTAAACACGTAAAGATAAGGCAATAGGATAACCAATTAGCGCAGAGGGACGCAGATCAGAACGCGACAAAGATCAAAAAAGGGACCAATAAATGCACTAACGTGGTGTCTTTCAACTGGCCAATCAGATTAAGAGATAACAGCTAATCGTCAGATGATATATAACCGCACGCAGGCAAAAAGAGAGTACCCAGCCAACTGTGCATTGATGATGTCTCCTCATCTGGCGACGAAATGTTTGCAAGTCAGTTGCCAACCTCGGCGAACAAATCCGCTGCCGCCTGATCAGCATCTGCTGTGCGCAGTACTGTAGCAGGCAAGATTTTACGACACTAACCACTTGAGGGACACATGGGAACAAAACATACACACGGGCTCAAGACTCACTGTCTAACACATACATACTTACATACATACATACATACATACATACATACATACATACATACATACTTACATACATACATACATACATACATACTTACATACATACATACATACATACATACATGCAGTAAATAGTCCGACTATTACAGCACTATCGGTCGGTCAGCTGTTCGGCAGTTTCTCCTCATCTGAAGTCATCACATCAGGTCGAGGAAACGAGAAGTGTTTAATGCCGGAACAGAAAATCGACTGAGCAAAGGTGGAGTATAAGTAAGGTGCATTGCCAAGTACCGAATAAACAAAAGTACGAGTGGAATCAAACAAACCAAGTACAACGCTTATAGAAACGAAATTTGTGAGCAAAATGAACATTTTGCGTGCATGTCGATTTATCCAAGATAATATGAATGAGAGATATTTCCGCCCGGAGCAAGGATAAACTAGCACCTTATCCAGAGTGAGCATGAAATATCATGTGAAAGCCAGGACACGTGACACTCAATTCAAGCAATGGGCAGCTGTTTGAATTTCGAGAAAAGAAGCAAACCATGGTCCCTCAGCTTGGCTGGAAAAGAGGCCGAGATCACAACAACCTTAAGTGAAAGCTGGTTTACGCATCAAAAAATGCGGTGGAGTTTCGGGAGAAAGTACATGCTGAAATGCGATGAAGCAGGGTTGTTATCGATGTTCCTCCAAGGAGAAGAACCTTTTCTGACTGGAAGTGGGCTGCTGTGAACGCTTACATTGTAGAATGTAGGAAGGTGACTAGAAAAAGCAGAGTCCATCGCGATTTTTTCAATCATTACTGTCAGGCTGGTCTTTTCATCGCCAGATCGATTAAACAAGGAATGTAGGCTCTGTCCAGAACGTGTAATTTAAGTATGTGAAACTCCTGTTGCGTGAATTTTCCGAAATGATCGAAGACATGAAGTGGTGAACTTTTCAAGCACTACTGAATACTTCGCTTTCTCATTTGGTGACTTATGAGGAACAAGTTCATCTTGTATTTCCTAGAGGTATCTAAACAAAGAATGCTCAACTATAGAGCAGAATGTTGGTAGCTCAGTTAGCGTTTGTTCGCTGCGCCGGGTAATTTGATTGCAAACGGTTCATCACCAACCGAGGTGACGTCATTAGTTCGTCGTTAGGGTGCCTAGTGGGGCGCAGCGATGAGTCGGTGGTTGTGAACTGAGTAGTGTTGCTGTGTTAATATATGTGCGACCAATCGGGGCTCACCTTCGGTCACGACCAGTTGTTCAATCGGGCGGTTCCATTACTTGATCTGCGTCCTGATGAACCGATAACCACGTGATTTTTGAGCTTGGCCTCCCTCGTACTCCGATCGGTGCTGGAGTGACTTCTGTCGTCGCTGACCTCTCTGCGATACTGCTTTTGACCTCTGTTGATCTGACTCAAAGAAGTTGCTTGTTTATTGATTTATGAGTACCAAGATGCTGTTGATGTTAAGATGCTGGACCTTTGCACGTATTGATTCAAAAATTGGATCCAGTACAAGCGCATCGTTTGATCGAATCAGCCGCGAAATTCCAATCCATGTCCTGCGTCTCCGTATGCCGAAAGTTTTGCGTTTTTCAGATTGTATTCGTTGCTTCTTTGGTATTTGCGTATGGATTCAAGGACCATGTCTCCTGACGGCCACGTTGTCTTCCTTTACTCGTATGTATAATTTCCTTGTGGTTTGTCCAACGTGAAACTTGTTGCACTTATTTCAGCTGATTTGGTATGTCAAATTGTTCGTCTTGGTTTTGTCTTGGCTGTTTTTTGATCTTGAGATCAGTTTCCCTAAATTGGTATTCAAGTTGTGGGCCACCAGGATTCCTTTTTGAGCCGATAATCAGGTTGCGAGTTCCGATGTATTCTTGATGTAAATGGTGTGTTCTTGCTGTTGCTGTCGTTGCGTCGTCCTCTCCTTCAAGCTTCTCTCGATAAAATTCCTTGGATGTCCATTGTTCTGGATTACTGTGGGCAGAATTTTCTTCCTTTTTCCGTAGTTATGCGTTGCTGCAGTGTGCCTCCGCCATCTTGAAAAGGTTTTTGAAGCAGCCCTTCTTGTGGTTCATTGGATGATCACTGTTGTAGCTCAGTATTTGATCGATGCGTCTCTCTCCTGTATACACAGTTTTCCGGAGCCAAGTCCACCTCTGTGTTAAAGAGAACGTCCAAGAATTGTAGTGGGTTGTTCCTCTTCAATTCGATCGTAAACTTGATGCCTTCAAACGTGGTGCTGAGAAGTTCAGGTGCATTATGTACTTTATCTCATTTCATGACGACGAAGGTGCCCTTCACGTAGCAGATCCATATCTTTGGACTGCGCTTTCATCTTTGCAGTACTGCTGCAGTGATAAATCCTGATATTTGGGATCCCATTGGAGTTACTTTCAGCAGTTGATATAGTTGTCCATCGAAGGTAAACTATATATCCGTGCAAAAGTCCAACAGCTTGCAAAGACTTTCGGGTTCCATGGTTCCTGTCGTGTTCGCACTGTCCCTAATCAGTTCTGCTATGACGATGTTCTGGTTGACTAAAGTGAGCGGTGAGGTGACATCAAACGAAAGCATGGTTTCGTTGTAGTCTATACTGACGTTCCTTAGTTTGCGTAGGAATTGACCAGCATTGTTGATTGTGTATCAAGGTCCGGAAATTGGGTGTTTCAATATCCATCATAAGTCTTTCACTAATCTGTAAGATGGAGTTCTCAGAAGTGAAACGATCGGTCGAAATGAAGTTCCTTTTTTCGCATCTTTGGCAGTTCGTAGAACTGCGCAATGTTGGTATTGTCGGCGTTCATTCTCCATCATTCCTGCCAGGCCATCTCCTTGATTGCTTGCAGTTTCTTGATTGTCAGGCTGGTTTGAAGTCTGGTGAGCAGAAAAGTAGATGGAACTCTGGAAAGCTGTGCATTCCGGAACGCGACACATATGGATCACATATTGAACTGCAATCATCCAGTGAACCACAAGAAGAGCTGCGTCCAGGCCTTGTTCAGAAGGGCGGAGTCACAGACCACAAACTACGGGAGAATGGGAAAAGGAATGCACTCTCTGATGTAGATTTGACTGAATTGCGCACGCTGCTACCAGCTTGATATACATTCTTGCAACGCACATCAATGCACATATGCCCAGATTAACTGTCTACTTATTTGCCAGTAAGTAGTATTTGGAATTCCAATGATTCCAAGGGTGAAGTTGTGGTGGCCATTAAGAAGAGTGGGAAAACCGCAGTTTGGTAGTGGCGACGTTTCGACTGAATGACAAGTTGGAGACATCCGAGTTGAAAAGGTATGATAACATGTTCAGTGTGATCTGCTCGCGTTATCAAGGGGAAACGTGATATCATTCCATTTAAAAGTTACTGTCAGAAGATGCTCCACCTTCTGTAGAGGCGACGGAAGCATCCAAATGGTCTTAACCTTTCTGCTAACTCAGGACCACCTTACTATGGGTGTCCATTTTCCACTTTCCTAAACGTGGCCGCTTTGGGGTAGGAAACATGTACTTCTGTCCGGGTGAAGGGACATTGAGTGACAAACACTCATTTGCAAACAAATTCGTTTTTTTGCGATGAAGTCACCTGAGACCCAGCTGAATCTCTCGTTTGTGATGTTTCCAGGCAAGTGAATGTGCTGCACTAGGCCACCTCATGTTTCAGTTGCTACAATTTTCGAGATATCGCGATACATGTATATTCGTAACGTACTACTCATAAGGTTGTTGAAAGTCCTGCGGTAGCCCACGACCGCTTTCGTCCTACTTGAGGTTCATCAGGTAGGCGACAGAATGTCCGATTTTCTTTGACTATGCGGCCCTAGTAATGGATGAATTGCAGTGTACGTTTTAAGCGGAGAAAAACTTACAGCGGACAGGTCACTTGTGTGGACAGTTTTAAAAACACTCTGTGGGTGCGCGAATGTCTCCCTGTTCTCACGCTAAAAAGTCATCGAAGCATAGCTGATCTGCTGTCTCCGGCTGATTTCTGAACAATCAGACTTGCTCAAACTCAGTGATCTAAGGGGGTTCGTTCTTTATTGTGGTATGACTCAAAGGCAATCTTGACAACTTCAAACATGCTAAAGATCAGCTGAAATAGTATGAAAATGGCTAGATGTAGAGTACACTAAACAGTAAGTTGCATCAAATCCATGAGGACTGAGACGAATTCGGAATCGTTTTGGAGACTAGTGGATTCTTTGTCTACTAATGAGTAGTGCAATTCCACAAAACACTTTCAACAAGAAGCAAGGCGAGTAGCTACGTCGACTTAGTGTGCCAAGGGGTGGTTGGACCAACACTGGCTTAGTAACATCATCCGGCTTCCGATTATCATTCATGTTCTGACTAAAAGACGGCACGTTCAGAAGGAAGGTTGAACCACTCCACTTGAGTTCCCGATGAAGTCCGCCGTAGGGGAAATGGAAAATTGTACTCTTTGCCTGAAAACGTGGTGTAGTTAGCTCTTCTCATCCGTGTCATCAACCAATGAATAATTTCCCATCATCTATTCAGTCTGCCATATTGCTGTTTGGCAACTGGGCATCTCAAGTACCGAACGGTGGTTGCCCGCACAAAGCATAGTAATTGCTTGTTTTTGCAGATGAGCGTCATGTGCGACAGCCTCTGTCTAACAAAACTGAAGGAGAGGACACTGGCTTCATCATCCGGCTTCCGATTATCATTCATGTTCTGACTAAAAGACGGCACGTTCAGAAGGAAGGTTGAACCACTCCACTTGAGTTCCCGATGAAGTCCGCCGTAGGGGAAATGGAAAATTGTACTCTTTGCCTGAAAACGTGGTGTAGTTAGCTCTTCTCATCCGTGTCATCAACCAATGAATAATTTCCCATCATCTATTCAGTCTGCCATATTGCTGTTTGGCAACTGGGCATCTCAAGTACCGAACGGTGGTTGCCCGCACAAAGCATAGTAATTGCTTGTTTTTGCAGATGAGCGTCATGTGCGACAGCCTCTGTCTAACAAAACTGAAGGAGAGGACTGAAAGTGTGGATGCCCAACCTGATGATTTCATCAATCGATAATAGCATAGTCATGCGGAGATATGGTCGGTTTCTGTGGGAGAGGTTTTCAGAGGACGTTTCATTTTCAGGTTGTACCACTGATAGTTACCAGCTCTGCGACCGCAGTTGCCATGGCGACTTCAAACTTGGCCATGCTGTCCATCATCGAAAATTATTCCACCAACCTAACGGCCTATCCCTCCTTTTGAAGCCACTGGTATGCAATCCACTCTGCGTGAAGGTCACAGGTCTTACTACGTACAGTTCCGCTTACATGAATTCATTTTATTGTTGTTTCACACTTGTGACCAACAAGACAAACGAAGACTACAAAATGCTGACTGAAAGCTAAGATTAAAACCTGGAAATTTTGAAACGATGCGTTTTCCGTCCAAGATATGAAGTAAAGGCCGCTCGCTGTTAGGAAGATGCACATGTGGTTCGTAACTCCTGAGTCGCAGATGAGTCTAGAATAATGGACCAAGTTGGACTTGGGAAAATTGGCTTATTACTGATTTCGACATTGGGATGATTTCATTTGATGACTACGTTTGGAATTGTGTTAGCCGTCCAGCTTAAATTTGCCGCAGAGGAGGCATCATCGCACGCAAGACAAAAGGAGATGGTGTCTTTTCTGCAAAAACGTTCGTTTTGAAATTCCTGCATAAAGTGTCACTTGCCCTTAGTTGCATATGTGCACATTTTCTCCAAAGCCACGGTACTCAAGCGCAATGAATTTACCAGTTTATTTTCCACCGAAGCGGTTACCTATTCGAACATCATTGTTTATATTAAAACAGGTGGTCTGGTTAGATTGGCCTGCTTCTTTCCAGCCAATCAGCAATGCGATTCACCAGCGCCATCCATCACTCGCAGAAATCAGATCACGTGATCATCTGTTGATCGACTGGCTCATCAGATTTAAATTTCTCTCATCGAGTGGGATAATTCTTTTTTAAGCTATTTACAGATTGATAGTAGTGCTAGGAGTTTTGATAATTTTCAATTGAGATTTTGTTCTTTGATTGAAGCCAGTCTATGCTAAACGGTATTCTCTTCTAACGGATTCTACGAAAGCTTTATTGGATGCGATATGAAGGCGTGAAAGTCGAGGTCTTCAATCCACGCTGTCAAGTGAAAATCCTTTCACACCAATCTATTTTTGAGGTGACTTCTTGTTGGGCTTACTGGGACAACAATTCTTCGGTTCCTCTTCAATACAAAACGCTCAATGTATAATTATCCACGCAGGAACTAAATCAATATAGGCACTTGCCTGCTAGCGTGCGCCAAATACGTTAGACGCACCACCGGTTAATTTGGCCAGCGAGTCAAGAAGCACAGTTCCCGCTGGTTCAAATCCGGATTCAGGGAAGCCCTCCATGCTGCAGCACCCACTTGACGTTAACCACGTGCGTATCATCTGACCTACGAAGGATCATCTGACCAACCCCGATTCAACAACCATCGACCAATCGCACTGGTCGAATCGATTCTCGTCAGGCTGCCTTGTCATCACAAGTGCCATTGACCACGCGCGCATCACCTGATCTACGAAGCACCATCTGACCAACCCTGACTGAACAACCGTTGACCAATCGCACTGGTTGAATCGATTCTGATCAGGCTGCCTTGTCATCACAAGTGCCATTGGCGCTCTCTGGTTCGCAACCGTCCTCGAAGCACGTGTGCCTGCCACCTTACAAACATCAATGACGAAAAACACACTCATACCACTTTCCAGCACATTAGCATCTCTGGATCACTCCCCTGATGATCGGAAAGTAGCTGTTTTCACTCGCTACTCATCCGTTTGGTGGGAGCATCATCAATCTCATGATAGGCAGCAAAGCATCTGCAAGCAACTTATCAAGCTCGGCGAACAGATGAACAGTGGATCTTCGGATATCCTGTAAAAGCCGAAATACCATCCAACCAAAAGGTGGATGTTACACATTGATCTCACCGAAGACTGACCACTTCTCCGTAGGGATCGACAACTACGTTCTCCGTCGCCAACATCATATCATAGAACCTGAATCGAGAGGAAGACAGCAACAACAAAGCCACATACACCTTTCCAATTACTGACTCGTTGCTATCTTACGACTGTGGCGTGATGGGGTCTGCTGAGTTTCAGTTGAGATGTCTTACCAGTGAAGCCAGTGTATGCTGAACATGATGAATGAAGCTTTCATTTGGAAAGTTTTCATCTGAGGAGCCAGTCAGCATGTGATGTGGGTCCCGTGATCTGTGGCTCCATATCCAATCTAAGTGTAAAATCACCACACTGCTCATCAGCCACTTGTGGCGGAACGGTTAATTGTTCACCTGCTGATCAGAAAGTCATGCATTCGAAACTCCCTACAGTGCGGACGGTTCCGAATAGGGATGAAACAGCCGTACAGTGCTTCTCGGCTTTTCATCTGTATGTGTTGGCTATGATGTGCTTGGTCGTACTATAAATAGGTCCGCAGAGTCTGGGCACGTGACCTTGAACCAAAAGGCCCACTCGCCCTATCCGACGTGCGTTTCTTGGCCACACAGTATAACTAGGTTTATTAACCCGCTACGTAGTGTCCCGTCATGGACACTCACCGGTTCGTCTCACAACCAGTGTAATATGGATGACCTTTCACTAACTTTAAACCAGGTCCCACGAAAAAGCCCTCTGGTCTTGCTTTTTGCTGAGAATTTGCGGAGTACCATACTGGGTGCGTCATTCCTTATTAGGGATCATCTGACGAAACTGTAGACAGTCTTGAACTCGCGACCTCCCGTTCAGTGATCTGAACATACCCGTTGGAGCACTCGAGGAGCTAGTTGTGACGAGTAATCATGTGATGTCGATCCTTATATTGCAGGACAAATAGTTTTATATCCCGTCTAAGTAAGAGTTAATCAGCCGCTCTTTGCCGAACGGTGAATTGCTCAAAAATACCATCCCTGAGGCTGTGAGTTGGAGACTCCCTAACGGAGTTTCGTGAAATGCAGACTGTTGATGATACCCGAGGGCTCCGAATAAGGATGAAACGGCTACAGCGTGTTTCTCGGCCTTACAGCGTAGACTGGCTTTATTTACAGTTCAGCAATTACCACAGTCCCTCATACTACCATTTTTCAACTTCTTGTTATGCAGCCAGTCGCCTCCTGCTAGTCCCAGCAGGTCCCAGTCAAACGTCAATCAGTACCTGTGTGTGCAAAAGCATTTCTTATTCAAGCTGAACAAGCAGTGTCCTATTGTACAATGCGCCATGTTTGAACCACACATGACGGATGACAGAATACCCGACTTGGGTTATCATTCCAACCATATGCAAACGATCCATATGAGCAATGTGCAAATGTCAGTCGGTGATATTTCAAACTTGACTTTCTTACCAGAACATTCCTGGTGTCACATGATGAAATTCCGAATCACAGATGCAGATCTGTGACAGCTGTAGATCGATACTTGCAAACAACAGTTTTCCTGTGGTAGATCCGAACCAAGCCAAAGAACATAGGAACTTGAATTTTCATGGTTCTTCTCAGCTGTATTGTAGTTGTGGATTGAACTTCATCAATCCGAAAATTCCAGTGCATCTCCACCTGCCCCGTTCTTGTAATTTTCAACTGAATGTCATCGCTATTAAAGATCCTTGTTTCGCCACTTGTTTTCAGCTAAATTATAGGGTTGATTGAAACTTGAGGACAACGTCTAACTTGTGAATTCCCCGACCTGGGCAAAGGGAATTCGACGATGTACACTTTCTGATAGAAAAATTGTGGATGTTGGATCCGTTTCTCGCTATCACGTTTTTGAAAATCGCCAATCACGGGGCAGCACCTGAGGTACTTGTGAACCAGGATGAACCTTTGACTTTAGGTACGTTCAAAAAGCGGATCCTGTTTTGCCCTCTACCCCCTTGAAGCCCGAAAAAAACTTGCAGGTCAATGCCATAGGCGATACCCTCGATGGATGTTACTGAGGAGAACGTTAGTAGTTCAGGTATCGTAGGTGGCCATAGGTTTGTTCACTGAGCTGACCGAACGTTTCGTTATCAACCGAGAATAATTTAATTCCTTTTTTGTGCCCCCAACTGTATGGTTTTACAATTACTCACGACGTCAAAATTCCCAGGGTTTATTTGTTTGCTTGTTAAGACTCCAGCCCAAAACGACTGGTCTGGCAACCGAATACTTTAAGTCATGAAGGGAACAAATTTTAAATTTTAAATATTGATACGAAAACACTGCCATCAAACCCTGCATTGGCATCGCTTTGGGGCATTCCATTAAGCGACTACCATCCAGGTTACTAGTTTACCATACTGAAACTAAGAAAGATCTATGAAGTCAACTCAAGCTCGTTTATTCAAGTACTTGCTAAAAGAGACTAACACTTATTTCGTTAGCTGAACGAGAGATTTGAGAAGGGATTAACTGCGATAGAGACTTGAAACCGACCAGTAATGATCCCATCAAGCCAATCAACAGAACTATCCAGTAAAGGTGAGATGGGTCCCCAATTATCCAATCAGCAGTGCCCAACTGAGTTAATCAATACTGCTGTTCAAAACAATCGATGGCCTTGTAAAAAAACACCACACATGCAATCAGATAGCGGACCAATCGCCAGAGAACATATGTGAATAGAGCATGTGAAGAATGGTTAACAATCCTACTGGACGCCTATAGTTTTTGTATTATTAGATAATGAGTTTCATGGAGCGAGGCCGTTGAGTTTCGTACCTCCATTGTTTACATTAAACTTCTGCTTGTTCAGAACAGTTCATCATTGATAAATTTATTCTGATGTTTGTTTCCAAACTCTGGAAATACGAACTCACCGAGGTGGGTCACTGTGTTTCGATGATAGCTAAGTAAATACCGGTTGTGATTAGCCTGAGATGAGTGAGGAGAAACTTAGATGTGGGCATGAAAAAGGGAGTACCAGGTGAACCAGGCCTGACGATATTTCCACATTTACACCATCCTCTTATTTCGGGGCAATTATCCCCACTTTATGGGAGATTTTTGATCCTGTCCAACGAGGTTGCGCGATCTGTGGAATTCAGTCCAACATCACCGCGGTTTGAATAATCGTCCTCGTGTCCTTGCGCTGCAATTACCAAACGGGGAAGAACTGAACTCGAGTGTTGTTCTTATTGGAGCTCATCAGTAATGTACATCCTTGACGTATCGCCATTCCAGCTCTGCACGTCTGACATGCGAAGCGAGCTTGTTTCTACCCATACACCGGCGTAGGCTGTACGCACCTAAGTAACATGTCTGAACAAGCTAAATTGTTCACTCTTGAAAGGTATGTCTGTTGTGTCCGACTCCCCCAACCACAACTTCGTAGATCACCTGGTTGTACCGATCATATCAAGAGTAACTGCTCGTTTTGTCCTGTAGTAATTTCGGACTAAGATGGGAACATCGATAGTTGCTTATGCAGTCACTGTGAAAGTCCCTTGGTGAGGAGTATTCCTCAGAAAGTATGATTTACTAATATCCGTAATTCAGTGTCCGCCAGTTCACGCCCAAAACAGCCGGTATATTTCATTCATACTAAAAATCCAGGGAGAGGTACTGGAAGCTGTGGAGCGTCCTACGTATCTTGGAAGTTGTATTAGTTCTGATTGTAGTGTGACAGATGAGGTGAATGCACGAATCTACAAGGCTCGGGTCGCGTTCGCTAACTTGAGACACCTATGGCGTCAGAATGGTTTATCCCTGAATTTGAAGGGACGTGTGTATCAAGCTACAGTACGGGCTATTTTGTTGTATAGCTGTGAGACTTGGCTGTTAGGACAGCTGAATTGAGACTTCTTTTTGTGTTCAACAGTCGTTGTCCCAAGGCAATAGATCGTTTGGGATGATGTCGGCGAATCCGTAACGAGGCAATTAAAAGCGAGTTATCGGTTGTGCAGCGGGTACTTCCAATGAAGAATGTGTCCAACACCAGAGGCTGCCTTGGTTGGGACATGTGTCGCGTATGCCGAACCATCGTGTATCCAAGGGAGTGCTGTTTTCCGTGCCCAATTCAGAGTGGCGTAAACATATGGGTGGCCAACCCTTGACTTGGCAGAGAGGTATGAAGGGGATCACGAAACGCTTGGGTGCTGGCGGTGCTACTCGCCTTCCAGGATGGGGACCGCGTGATCTTCACTGTGCCTGGTTGGAGACACTACGAGATATGGCTGCCAACCGATGTCAGTGGCGTTCCTGTTGTCAGTTTCTATCCAGATCGCCTGAGTGAGTGTCTGGAGGGGTAGGCACCTCGGAATGATTGTGGTAAGCTAGCAGTATGTCCCTTACCCGTCCACCTTTACTCTTTTCTTTACAATAAGGCTTTCAAATAAGTCATGGTTGTACGGCAGTGGAGCAGTGGTGTTGAACACTGATGTCATTATGTCGATGCTGATTATGATGAGGAATCATCAGCAATGCACATCTCACGGAATATGGAGAGTTGAGATCCCACAGTTTTACTGCCAGTTGTTGAGCACTTAACCCTTTGACACTGAGAGACTGAACAGGAACGTGATTAGCACTCACTCGGATTGGACGTAGCGCCACTCTGTCTTCAATCTCAGGATTATATCTATTAGTTACTTGTAACTGACTGGCTCCCTGAATGACGACTTTTTAAACAGAAATTTCACTCATATTGTGAACTCCTTTCAATAGGGGAGCTCATCGTGCTGTTGGTTAGCTACAATTGGCTAGTCGGTTGTGTTAAACCACTGGCCTGGAAGGCCGCGGTTCTGAATCCCCTACAGGACCTTTGTGACGTGAGCACTGCTAATGAGTTCCAGAAAGAATGGAGCAGCTTTACGACTCTTTTCAGCATAGATTAGCCTCACTTACAGGGCGAAATCCTAACAAGTCCTCTCACACAAGGACGCAACGAATGGTAAAGAGCACGTTTTTTTGACACTGATCAATCTGAATTACCAAAAGAGTTACGATGGAGTGAAAACATTGTGTCTGATCGAATACATAAGAAATTGTAGTCAAAATAACGAATGCTTAAATACTGCTAAGGGTTAATTTTTCAATGAGTCGTAGCATAAGTGACGATTCAGTTGGTAAAAACGAGAAGGTACTGTAACAGGAAATGTGGATGTAGGGGAAGAAAGCTCGGGAAATGTAGCGAGGGGTGAGAAATGTTGGCCTCGTAATCGATCGCCTATTCCTCTATTTCCAGCAATAAGTCCTGACCTTCCACCTTCATACCCTTATCAACATGCACTGCCTTGACACGTCCGGCTATTGGTGCAGTGACCGCGGTCTCCATTTTCATCGCTGATATGGTAACCAATTTCTGTCCACGTTCGACCGTATCGCCCTTTTTCACGTTGACAGAAACAACATCGCCGGGCATGGGTGAGCCGATGGATCCTTTCATGTCCGGTTCGGCCTTTGGATGAACTAGTTTTGTCTGTAAAAATAATAAATCAAAGAAAAAACAGGAAAAAAACGGACTCTGAGAATCATTCACTTAGTGAAGAAATTGTCGATGCGTTCGGATAATGACATCAGATAACTGACATTTTGATAAAAGTAATCCCTCAGCTCAGTTCTAGGTCGGAACCTTCCAGTCTAGCGTTTTCGACAAAAGAACCACCACAGGTGCACAACTCGTATTTACCGCCCAAAGCCAGGTTGAAATCATATGTACAATAGGTCATATTAAAAGTTTATGAGACGAAGATATTCTGGACGCGGTCGGGCAATCGGTATTCAGCGGATACTGGAGCCTGATTGGTCGTTGGGTCCACGCGTTCGGCCAATCAGAGCTCACCTTGATGCTGGACCGGATCTTCTGGCCACTCACGTGCAGGCCAGGCTTCATGGCCGTAGCAGCACCTAACTGCGAGTGCTAAAAGGGCTTTGGTGCGGGACTTCTGAGGATTAAATTGGTGGCTGAGTGATGCGTGACAGTACGCGGTGAAAACGTTTGGTGAAAGGCAAATGCGACGGGTCCCGTTACATCCACGTAATGGGTCCCACTCATGGCTAGGAATATCGTGAATTGCTTTCCAGGACTAACGGGATTCTGTTTCTTACGACTATATTGTGATCAATTACGAAAGGTACAGGGCAACTTCCTACGCGTCCCCTCACTTGACGAGTGCTAGAACCTCACATCTCGTGCCACCATGAAGCGACGTTCCCTCTGTGACAAATCTTCTGACCAGTGTTTCGTTCACTGTGGTAGGTGATTTAGCTGAATGCATTTCATCAACTAGCCCACCGAACAAACCAATGGTCACCTAAGACATCAGACCTACTTATAACTTTCTTGGCAGCGCACAGACTTTGATCGGCAAGCATAACTTTCATCCAGCTTTTATTCTAAAGACATTGTGAAGATTATTACCAGTCACCATCATCATTAAAGCAAGTTATTTGGAGATGAGATGTTTCGGCGTGTCTCCTCACTGGTTTTGGCATAACTATGTGCAAGTAGCACTTGCCAACAGCACTCTAGGTAATTTAATGAACAAGAAGGCGAGCGAAAAATTTCGCTTTCAAATACCTAAAGCCTTACTATGCCTCACTTCACTTTACTCTGACTGATTCGCTCAAGAATCAAACAAGTAGCTATCACGGAGACGCATATGTGAAGCTCATGGGAAACCAGCTTACCTTGGTTGCTTCATTGTCCGTAATATGCACCGACCGAAGTTGTCCGTTCATTTCAAAGAACACTTCTCGTTTCCCGCCATGCAACCCGGAGACCGCTAGCGTTTTGATGGTAATTTTCTTGCCCCTTTCAAGCTCAACCTGTACCACATCAAGGACAAAACCAGGATGGTTTAATGTGGGGAAAAGTAGGTGTTTGTTTTGAATGATGG